TGTGTGTCAACCCCCCTAAAAAAAACTAAACCCCCCCCCTTTTTTTTTTTTTAAATATTTTTTTTAAATAAATAAATAAAAAATAATAATAATAAAAAAAAAAATTATGCCCACGGCTAACGTAAAGTGACCTTACCCCCCCCCCCAACGAAAAAATGTCAAATTTTCAAATTTCGAGCCAAAAAAAAAAAAAAAAGTGTCCACTTACCCTGTCATACAGCCATTTTTAAACGGAGGTAGTCTCCTGGACGCTAGTGCATAGTGCACTGTATTTGGACATTAAATCGGGACTGTACTACTTGTAGCTATACTTGCGCCCTCTATATGGCCAACAATGCATTAGCGTTACCAGTTGATCCCCCATGGACCACGCAGGGAGGTCTAATCCCTCCTGGCAAAACTAGTGCAGATATTCTTTAATTTATTTATTTTTATTTCTGAGCACGAAGAATTCATGTTCTATTGAGACAGGGAAGTCACACCTTGGGTTGACAAGGGACAGACCCCCCCCCCTCCCTTTTCCCTCCCCTTCTTTTTCATAATGGTGGTACTTTAACGTTGTATCTTGTGCTGTAGTTCCTCTCCTTGAATAACTTGTTTATTATGTGCCTGTTTTGTCATCTGAGGGGCACAGTAGGGGGAATAGGACAATGCACAATAAACCGATAGCTTCTGCTGCGAACAACAGTTATATGAAAAGAGATGTCATAAATTTGATATCTTTTATAAGACTGTATGTCCTTTAACCTTCATACAAATCAGTTGCGTCTTGTTTGTGTTGTTTTAAACATTCCGTCTCTAAAATTACCTTAATTGTGGCACTTAGCATATTAACACATGATAGACTCAAATCAATAGATTCCTCACTGCATACTAAATACTTAGCAAAGGACCCTTTTATCCAAAACAGTTGATTTTGCTTTCGTCAATATTTTAGGTTGCACACGTTTCTAAAGAAGTCCTGAAAAGTTAAAGAGAATTTTGAAGAACTATTTTTGAGGAGCAAGCAATGGCGTATCCAACATAGAATCACGTCAACATCAGCCCCCTTGTTTGACTGCCCAGGAAGAAGAAGAAAAGAACTTGTTGTTTGTCTCCATCATGTGTGGCTGGTATTAAAGGAACATTCCATCTCCCCAGTCAGGAGGGAGTGACCCCCCCCCCCTCCCCGCCCTGATAATTAATTTCTAGGTATGCCATTGCATGTTGTACGAAGTATTAAATCATATAATGAAAATTGAATTTCTAACGTTTTGCAATGAGCAAATTGTAGTACATCATGTTTAGATTAATTGCAGTATTAATGCGATAATCTTTCTTGTGTGAAGTGCTTTATTTTCGCTTTCCTTTTCTGACAATGATGCTTGGCAGTTATGTATTTATTATTTTCTAGTGTCAAGTCTACTGATTATTATGTTTGGTATGCATTAAAACTTGTTGATATTCATAACTTTGCATTCCCCACTCTTCTTCTCTCCCTCTCACCTTCTCCCGCACGCTCTCTCTCTCTCTCTCTATCTATCTCTCCATCTCTCCTTCTATAGGTAATGTGGATGCTATTTGAACAAGCATTGCAAGTGAATTAAAAAGTTCGCAGTATATGAGAAGGAGTATTTTTTTTAATATTCAGTTCTTGGTTTCGGTAGGTATTATTGGCAAGAAATTATATATCGAGTACAAGAGGCGACATTACGTTTAAATACTATAGTATAGAGATTACAGAGGTATTGTGGGGCAAGGTTGTGTAGTAACTGGTACATCATTAACAACAAATGAAAGCTTATTCTTTATTCAATGGGCTGTCATTTAAGTGAGTGAAGAAATCCTAATGATGGTGCATTATTAGTCAGCATTCAAAACCACTCGAGCGTTTTTGCGTTAGCATCTTTCTATCCTCAACATAATTATCCTTTTATGTTAAAGAGCCCCCAACTGTACAACAATAGTAAATGTGCGAAAGTATGAGTTTAAAATTATTGTTTAAAATTGTCATTAGTTAAACAAGATTTTTTGCTTCTTCGTATACAGAGGCCCCCAGGCGCGGATCCAGGGGGGGGGGCCGAGCGGGCCTTGGCCCCCCCCCCCCCCGCAAAAAAAAAAAAAAAAAAAAAAAGAGAAGAAGGAAAAGAAGGGAGAAAGGGAAAAAGGAGAAAAAGGGAAAGAAAGAAGAGGAAGAAGAAAAGTAAAGGGGAAAGAAGGAGATCGGGGGGGCCGAAAGGGCCTTGCCTCCCAGGCTGTTAACCCCCCCCCCCCATCAAAAAAAAATAAGAGAGAAGGAAGGAAAGGGAAAGAAAAAAAAAGGAAAAGAGGAGATACTGGCGTACTGATAGGGGGGGGGGGCTTGGAGGAAATCAAATTCAAACGTGGTTTATTTCTGATTCCACAACGGTGTATTACAAATAATGCTGAAATGACATAATTTCCGAAATTTTTCCTCACTTTTTAGTAAATTGTACGTTTGTATGTGTTTGTTGGAAAATAAAAAAATTCCTAAATTTACAACCAGGCAAAAAATATGATTCTTGAGATTCCTACATGTCAGGGCCCGAGGTACGGCGGGGATCGAGAGCCTCGAGGCATCAAAATATGCTCATCTGACCGTGATTAAATGCCTAAAACCCCTAAGCTTCCGGGGGCTTTGCCCCCTGGATTCCATCTAGGGCCCTACGGCGGGCCCTTAGATGATCATCTGACGGTAATTTAATGCCTAAAACCCCTGATTTTTTGGGGCTCCGCCCCTGGACCCCACGCCAAATAGTGACTTGCCAGTGTCACAAAATAATAAGGTATACACAAAAATATGCTCATCTGACCTTAATTAAACGCCTAAAACCCCTGAGCTTCCGGGGCCGGCTCCGCCGCCTCGACCCCACCTCTTTGAAATTCAGACAAGGATTAAGAGTATAGAGAACGGTACAACGCATCGTTTTCTTTCTCTAATAATAAAACGTCAAAGCCTCGCGCAGGAGGGGAGGAGGGGGGGGGGGGGGACTGAATTGAGACGAGGATTCTGAGGCGAGAACGGTAATACGAATCTTTGATTATTTAATGAAACGTAAAAGCTTATGCGCTTCGCGCGGGATGGAGGGGGAACTAAATTCCGATGAGGAATCTTTTCGAGAACGGTACAATGAATCGTCTTCTTCTCTAATGATTAAATGAAGATTAAAAGCTTCCGCGCTTTGCGCGGGAGGGGGGAACCTGAATTCAGACGAAGATTAAGAGTCGAAAACTGTACAACAAATCGTCTTCTTTCTCTAATGATTTAATGAAACGTAGAAGCTTCCGCGCTTCGCGCAGGAGGGGGAGGGGGGAACCTGAATTCAGACAAGGATTAAGAGTCGAGAACTGTACAACGAATCGTTTTCTTCCTCTAATAATTTAATGAAATGTAAAAGCTTCCCCGCTTCGCGCGGGAGGGGGTGGGGGCATAATTCAGACGAAGATTAAGAGTCGAGAACGGTACAACGAATCGTCTTCCTTCTTTAATAGTTTAATAAAACGTCAAAGCTTCCGCGCTTCGCGCAGGAGGGGGAGGAGGAGGAAATGAATTTAGACAAGGATTAAGAGTCGAGAACTGTACAACTAATCGTTTTCTTTCTCTAATGATTTCATGAAATGTAAAAGCTTCCGCGCTTTGCGCGGGAGGGGGGGGGAACTGAAATCAGACGAGGATAAAGGGTCGAGAACGATACAACGAATCGTCTTCTTTCTTTAATAGTTTAATAAAACGTCAAAGCTTCCGCGCTTCGCGCAGGAGGGGAGGGGGGTGAATTTAGACAAGGATTAAGAGTCGAGAACTGTACAATGAATCGTCCTCTTTCTCTAATAATTTAATAAATCGTAAAATTTTCCGCGCTTCGCGCGGCAGGGAAAAACTAAATTTAAACGAGAATTATTTTCGAGAACAGTACAACGAATCGTCTTCTTCCTTTAATAGTTTAATAAAACGTCAAAGCTTCCGCGCTTCGCGCAGGAGGGGGAGGGGGGACTGAATTTAGACAAGGATTAAGAGTCGAGAACTGTACAACGAATCGTCTTCTTTCTCTAATAATTTAATAAATCGTAAAATTTTCCGCGCTTCGCGCGGAAGGAGAACAACTAAATTCAGACGAGAATTATTTTCGAGAACGGTACAACGAATCGTCTTCTTTCTCTAATAATATAATGAAACGTCAAAGCCTGGGAGGGGGAAACTCGCCCCCCCGCATTACGTCACTGTTGGTCACCATAACGTACCAATATTTGGCTCGCATAATTTCAAATTTGGGCCCCCCCCCTAAGAAATCCTGGATCCGCGCCTGGAGGCCCCCACCCCTGCCCCAAAACAGGTTAAAAAGAAAGAAGAAGACGGGCCCTACCCATACCCCCCCCTGCTAAATCGCCGGCTGGGTCCGCCCCTGCGTATACATGCAATACTGATCGAACGATTTTCTTAACTACTTCACCAACCTGATACGTCCGATTAAAATTGTGTTCGAGAATTACACCAAGGTGTTTAGTGCCAGTTTCTAGTAATTAACCATTCATGAATATCTCAAAATTAAAAGTATTTCTTTACCGACGGGATGAAAACGATATAACTTTTTTTGTCTGAGATAATAATCATTCCGTTATTTAAAAACCATTTTACTGAACTTATTATTCTGATTGTTAAATTGACTGCACTATCTTTATATCGAAATCGGAATTTAACACAGCTGTATCGACCGCATAAGGTAAGAGTTTTGTATGTGGATTAAAATTTAGATTCGAGATACCATTCATGAACATACAAAAAAGAAGTGGTCCTAGTATGGATCCTTGTGGGACTCCTCTTCGAACGGGGAGAAAGTCACTTGTTTTTCCTTTATAAAATCGCATAGCCTTCTGCCTGTTACGTAAGAATAAAACCATTCCAACTTAACTTCATCAATTCCAAAGTACGACACTTTTAACATGGGTATGTCATAGGGCATAATGCTTTCCTAAGGTCAAAGAATGCACCGACGACAAATTTACCTTCATCAAAGTTTTCATATAAAAAGTCGCATATTTCTGTTAAGCATGTTACGGCTGAGTGAGTGGGACATAAGACCTTCTGTAGAATGTTCTTTTTTTTTTCTTTCACAACGCATTTAAAGCCATATAGATTTTTGGTGAGCCTCCTCCCCCCACACAATTCTTTTACTCCACTTTTTGCAAAGCAAGGTACTATTAACAGTGACCTGATGCTATGAAAAAAATCACTTGCGCCGGTGTAAACAAATGAGAAGTGAATTATCTTCTACTCTTTAGTACATATTTGAATCATTTTTGCCAATCTGTGTTAATTTAATGCTTACCGAACATTTACATAGTGGATTATAAATCAACGTCTCTGCAGAATATTTAGGAGTTAAATATGTACACACTATATATTCACACTATCATTAATCACTGCACATGGCCTCTAAATGGCTATATAAGAAGGGCCGTTACTAAAGGGGGTAACATCCCTCCCCTTTCTAGCATTGTCTGCAAATCACAACGAAAACAACACATCTACTTTTCGTTCATCCCATCTTTTCTGAAATCTTTTTTTTTGTATCCGTTGTCAGCCAATTTGTTTATCTGACGACTGTTTTTTTAAAAACAAAATCTCTGTAATTGGCACTTTTCAAAATATTTGTTTCCTAATTGTTGTGTTATTTCAAAATTACTATTATGCCATCCCTCACCCTCAGTTTCCAAGTGGTCTAGCAGCGCGCGTATTTATAGCTACGTGCTCTCTAGAAACAGTCCTAATCTTCAAAAAGTGCCGAATAGAATTTAGCTCCGGTTCGCCTTTCAAAAGCGAATGTAGAAGTCGCCAGACATTCTTCGCCGAGTAAGCACGAACCCTCGCAGGCGATGAAAGTATAACACGAGCAACGGACATCGGTAAGACACAACTGACTGCATTCGATGATGGACGAAACCGTGAATGATGACAGAACATAGGCATCGATGTGGGCAACATTGCTGGCCAGTAGTCGGAAGTTTTTGAAGCTCGTGTGACCTGTTTCAAAGGTTATAAAGTTAAAGATTAAAACAAAATATGAGTTTCATTTTTAACGAATTTATTGTGAATTAGTGATAATATAAAGAGCTGCAATGAATTATAACCCTTCAGACAAATGTTTTGTCGCTGAACATTTAGGTTGTAGGGTTATACCCAGAGGCGCTGTAATGAATATAACGGGTAAATATATACATCCCAGTAATGACACACGAGGCGTTATTGTTACTGCGTCAGTGATTTGTGTGGTCTTTGACGCGCAGTGTTCAGATAGTGACACCGTATAATCAGTCAATGCAAATATTAGGTTTAATTAGCGTATTATAGGTAAGTCGACACAACGCCAATCGTGTAGGTGGGCTAGGGGAAACTGCAACGCATTAAAACAAAATCATTTACCTCTGTCCCGAGAGGAGGAGCGACGTGTAGCCGACGACAATGCCTGGGTTGTGTGCGTTGACATTGTTGCATTAGTGGTATCGGTTGCCTGTTCAGAAGTAAGCGAAGCAACATCTGTTGATCCTTGCCCTGTTGTTGATGTTGATGATGCTTGTGAGGTTGGTTTCGTTGATGCTGGACTGCTTGTTGTCTCACTGATCGCATCTCCGGTTGTTGACAAAGGTTGCGTAGACGAGCCACTCGTTGTTACAGCATTGTCAGTCTGAGTAGTGGAACTGGTGGACATTTTGGATGACGTCATTTGATTTGGTGTGGTTTTAGTTGAACCTTCGGGAGAAGTGGCAGCGCCTGGTGTTGTCTGCTGTACTGTACTTAATTGGAAACCTGCTGACGTTGAATTGAATATGGCGATAGTTGTAATGAAAAAGGATGACAAATTTCAACAAAAAAGACGGGAAAAGAATTATCTTCATAAAATCCAAAACAACTATAATTTTCAGGGGTACATTATAAAAACCGAATGTAAGTACTTTTCTGTAGAGCACTGGAAAAAAAAAACACGTAAAAAAACCCATGAATGGATCATCAGTATATATTCACCTTCTTCTTTCTCGCAGATATAATAGTGCGGGTGATTATCAGCACAGTTATCATCTAACCATTGGTATTGCTTCCCTTTTTCTATAACGAAACACATTCCACCTTTTTCGAAAGTCTTTGAATCAGCTGCGAAGTTGGAATAGGTCAAACTCGAACCGTCCAGCCAAGTCACACTAGATAATCCTATCCAGTAATCCTCGTTTGCAAGTGGGAGGTTGTCCACCAGAAATTTCTGTTCGTCCTCTGATCCGATGTAGACAAGATGCATTCCAAGGTCGTCACAGGATGATTTTGACGAGGTGAAGTTTGACTTGCTTTGCGAGAAGTAATAACAGGATTCATCATTCTCAGCGTGGCCCACGGTACAAGCTACAAGAGGAGACGATCATGAATTTCCATATGATTTAGTATAGTTTTATTTCATTTTATCCGAAAATGATTAAATAATAGAGTTTTATCCGTTGTGCTTGTTATTTTACCATGCTTTCAAGTGTTCTTTTACTGACTTGAATTAAAAAACAACAACATTGTAATCATATCCTTAATTTTAATAATGCAGTATCTTGACCAGCCACATTTGATTCTTTGTATAAACCATTTCTGGCAGTTTATATGCACTTGTAACAATTCTTATTACCAATTTGAATTTGAAGTATATTTACAATACTCTTGTTTGGTCAGTCATGATTATTTTTGGCAGTACTATTCTATCGTTATTTTAAAACAAAAATATTTATCTTGATTATTTCATGTTTGTTTTAAATATGTTAATTCGATATATTTACATTGTTTCATACGGCCCCAATGGAAATCAGTCTTGTAACTGTTTGGGCATTTTAACCGAGTATAAATAAAGATATCAATTTAATTCAATTCAAAAGGGATATTATATACACATTTCTTCGAACTCTTTTATCTTGATTGTGTGCTGTACAACACTTGAATATTAGACAAGCTAAGGCAATTATCAAACTTGGGCACCTCATATTCGGGCAGAGAAGGGTGTATAGTACTTTAATGCAATCTAGTATTATAAAATTACATTGCCATTATAAAAATATGTCAAAATCGCTTGCTTCGCTCACTCTAAAAATAACGAGAAGTTGACTTTACAGTAAGAAACGGATCCGTCGTAACTGTGCTCGTGAGCCTACGATTATGAACGATTTTTTTATAAAAATAGGTTTAACGATATTAATCTGGCATAATTTGTTGTGGTTTTGTTTACAAATCGTAGAAAATGAAGACCATCCGACAACGTGCAGAAGATCAATGAGTTTCAACTCCATATTCTATACTTACCAGCACTGCCTTCTATTTCGTTTTCACATATGTAATAGTACGAATCGGAACAGCTGTCGTCATACCATAAATGGTCCTGTCCTATCAGTCGGAAACAGATTCCTCCATCATTAAAGGCATAATTATATGCGAAGTTGATGTAGTCCAAACTTGAGCCATCTATCCAGGTCAGTTGGGATAAACCTATCCAATGCTTCTTATTACCAGATATGCTATTCTGCATGAAGTTTTGTTCTTCCTGTGACCCTATGTAGACAAGATGCATTCCAAGTTCCTCGCAGGATGATTTTGACGAGACGAAGTTTGACTTGCTTTGCGAGAAGTGATAACAGGACCCGTCATTCTCGCGTTGATCAGATCCACAAGCTGCAAATAAAAGGGAGAGACATGGAGACAGACAGAGAGAATGGGAAGAAGAGACGAATGGAAGATATATGAAAGGAGTATGGGTACAGCGAGGCAGAGGGAGAGCGTGATTGATCAAATAATGATCACATATCTTAGGTTAAAGGAATAGTTGAGTTCTGTTTTCAGACCGTAAATGCCTTCAAAGTGCATGGTTATTGCTCTTATTCTTATCTATGACATTTCTAGTGCCCTTTAAAATTGCTATGAAAGTAATTTTAGACCAAAAAATGTGTGAAATGTGTACGATCATACCAATTCAGCTCCACTTAAAAAAAAAATACGGTAACCGTTAATTAATTATTTAATTTAAAATAACAATACATAGGCCGGCTGGTTGTGCGTAATATAACCAACACGAAAATGCCAACAAAAAAGCCAACATCGGCGTTGGCAGAAATACGACTTAAAAGGCGCTATTTCGTTTTTTCAACAGCTTTTTCAAATCATCTAATATTTGTGGTGGTACACATATATTAGGATTCGTTATATTTGTGGATATTTCAGCCGTCTCTGAACCGATTTTGATCAAAGATGATTTTGTCATTTAAATTGTATGTTCTTTCAAATTTGACACTCAGTTTTCATTATCTCACACAAAATATTTTGTGTAGTGCCCTCTGCAACAGAACTCAACTATCCCTTTAAGTTTCGCAGATTATATTTTCTTGCCATACATACACTTCTCGGATGATTCGCTCAAATAAAAAAAATCAAAAAAATCAGTTGCTTATAACGATCGGTCGCCAGAAATATCAAACCATCATTTGGTCAATTAGTTAAAGGTACTATGTCCCATTTGCAGGCCAAAAAAAATGAAAAGGTTAAATTTCAAAGGCATTTGAAAGATAATACTAATTTAGAACTTCCCTATAAAAGGTGGGGCTTGAAAATATCTTCAATTGGGAAAATAACGACTATTAGTTGTCAAATCGACTTAGGAGCTATAGAGCCATAAGTAATAGTCTTGGTTTTCAGGCTATTGTACCGAATGGTCATACGTTTTATGCTGTTCAAAGATTCAATAAGTTTAATTTTGGCCATCACAAGAAGTGGGTTATTGATGTAGACAAATGCTCATGTACCCTTTACAGCTCATTTTATGTATCTTATTACTAAAGAAGAAAAAAGCCAGTCGGTCACTCAATAGTGTCTGACAGTGAAGTCTAGCAAGTAAACGGGTTTCCTTGCATAATTTGAATATTAGGACACTGCTAACGTTTAAATTTCACAGATAAGACATACATTACATAATTTATTCATAATTCCTGCAAAGTTCTACAGAATTTGAGGTTGGCCGCAAAAGGGACATAGTACCTTTAAAGTTCACATTATTATATAGGGGCTTTTTCTCCTTATCCTACATGCAAACTATTTCATATTTAATATCGGTATATTGTTATTTGTTTTTCCTGTATATTTTTTAGCCTTTTCTGAAATCCAAAATAATGAGAAGAAGAACAATATGGCAGGTCATGATGAAGAAATAAATACAAGATTTGATGGATGACATAATCCTATTACACAAGGAGCTCGAAAATCCAGACAAAAGATCGCCGGGAAAGTTTGTCAAACAATTTAGTTAATAAGTATTAAAATATTATATTGTGAACAAAAACTATGTATCTTTTTTGCAATACTGTAATTGGCTTTTATTTGTTTTTACCACTATATTTTGACGTTTGAATGTAAATATAAACACCCCAATCTAGGCACACACAAAATCAACGTGATAGAAATATATGGATGAAAGAAAGGTGGTATTATTAAGAAGACACCTATCAGATACTCACCTAGATCAGCAGTCACTGGGGTGTGTTGGGTTAATATAACGACGATAACAAAGAAAGATAACTCCATCTGCATAAATATAAAATAATAATAATAATAATAATAATAATAATAATAATAATAATAATAATAGTCACATTTTTATAGCAATTAATACTACGTTTCTAAGCGCGTTACATTGTAATTATCATTACCCCGGTCATTGGATTCAATTGCTAATCAACACATGGTAGTGCACACGCTCCGCTTCCTGGGGAGTATTCCGCCGGGCGCCAATTTACAAGGCTAGCGCACACATGCCAATCCGACCACATTAACATTAAAATCCTACCGGATATCCATTTAACCCCTGGGTGGAGAGTGGCAAATGTAGAATAAAGTCTTGCCAACGGACATTAGTGCCGAGGTGGGACTCGAACCGCGAACCATGTGATCCATAGTCCGGTGACATATCCACTAGACCACGAAACCTCTACTAATGACCATATGATCTGTATTATTATCATGATGTTATGATTGTATATAAAATAGGAACGAAAATGTTTGTTGTATTACTCTGGAATAAGATTGAGGAAATATGCAAGAACGATACTTTCCAATGATTCAATTCAGATATTACACTTAAGCAACAAAGAGCACATTTATATATTTATGATAAATGATATGCGCTTTTCTTATATTTTTAGAGTTTCAAATAAAATTTTGGAAAACAAAACATTAATTAAACTAGGCCTATGCCATATGAATAAGGTTTTCCCTATGAATACATACCTTGAACTAATTGGTGTCTTGCAACTCACTGACCCTCAATACTACCACTAAAGTGTATCCTCTTGCTTGGACGAGCTTCAGTTCAAATGCATTCTCATGAAAACCTCAACATTTATAAATCAAATCAGTGCCGACAGGTATGACATGACTTCCATCATTTAATTGATTGGGGCCTAATACACCTAATCATAGTCATTGATACAGGGGTGATGTTGAAAATCTGGTTTTAATTGATTAAATTATGCTTTCCATGCATTACATTCATTATTCTGACCCACATTTTCCATTATCATAGCAGTAAAAAATCCGGCACCTGACGTCAAGAGCAATGCAGGCAGTATTTGGTCGGCTCGCTCTTTGTTTGCTATTCTATGTTTCATACATTATTTTACCCACATTTTCCTATATGATATCAGTAATAAGCCTCTCTAGTCGATGGTAGGCCCTTTGTTAGCTAATCCATCAGGTATCAACATTTTATCCAAAGCACCCATTCTGATCACCATGGCAC